TGAAATGTAAAAGTTTGATGTAAACAAGTATATATAATTAAACAAGTATATAATTTAAAGGTATTGACAGCTTTGAAAGATTTAGGATATCTGTGATATCTCGAAACTTGTTATACCTTGTCTATACTTTATCAGACAGTTTGTTTTCTTGAAAAATATTTTTATACTTTCATCCCAGCTCTCTCTATTTATACTTGACTCTTGGAATTCAAACTTTTACTTATAAAATAACTATCGATAACTGCCTATCACTGAAATAAAGAAGAGAACTTTCTTCAACTTGTTACTTAAAATAAATCACGAAGAATCGAGAAAAGCAAAGAAGCGTAGAGGGGAAAAAATTGTTGAAATTTTATCGACATATACAAAATATATCTTGAAATGTTGCATAGTTGTTGACCAATTACTAGAGTTGAAACATACGGAGGATTTTACGACAAATGTCAGGCTGAGATTTGATGGACAAGAGGCGTTAAAGGACAATGGCGACAGCTGGATCACAGATCGATCTGCTCGATGGTTCAAGAATAGAAACGAGGGATTAAATGTGGGAATCGGAACAGGGAAAATGTGGAAATTGTGATTTTGGGATAAGCTTGGCATATTGTTACCAGCCTGACCTTGGATACATTCTGCTCGAATGGTGACCATTTTGAACACATGTACGGCAGAAGTAAGAAAGAAATATTTGCAACGTAATTTTCAAATTACTTCTAAACTCGTTAAAAAAAAAAATTGTTAACATTTTCCCTTTAAAATAATCTGTAATCTTAAAACATTTTTACCTCCTATCCTCAAGATAATTCGTTATCAACCGCATAACTTACGAAATACATTTACATTACATTATCGTAACAGTTACGTTACAATTGATCAGATAAAAGTAATTTCATATGGGTATTAAAATTGAATACTACAAAAAAAAAATAAATAAATAAAATATAAAATATATATTAAAAGATAGAAATTTTACAGCTAACACAATTATTGTATATCCAACAAACAATAAAAGTTTCGTATAACGATACACAAATAAACAAATACTAGTAAAAAGACATATAAATACGTTATCGTAAGGAAACGTTCCACTACATCCTCCTCAATGCTTCTCATAAATTCAATAATTAAATCGAGAGAATTCAATTTACATCCCCCAGAAATTTCGCCCGCGGGAAGAAGAAGCGCCTAATCCAGCCCCCTCGAAAAAGAAAACAAAGAAAATTCTTCGATCGGTCACCCCAACAAGGAATCGTAACGAAAGGAATTGTCGCGGCTTCGATTAGAAAGGAGCAGCTGTCGAAATCACAAACCGATCTTCTATGGAAGAAAGCAACCCGGGGATTAAAGGGGAGGATTTTAGAGAAGGGAGAGCGAGGGGTGGAACAGCCCTCGCAAGGACGAAAAACGTGCACGTGCTGTTGCGGGGTGGAAGTATGGATCAGGGATCTCCAACCGACTTGTTGTTTCGCCTAGAACTTCGAAATTGATTCGAGTTCTACCCTGATCAGGCAATTAAAACGGGGCAAACTCGTCGATGATGAAGCGGAGAGCTTACTTCGTTCACCTTTGTGTTTAATTTATTCGAAGTATTTGTAGAAGGGATAGATTTTTAAGGAATAGTCGAGGGGCCCGTATATTGGCCCGTGTAAGTTGGAGATCCCTGGGCGGTGGAGGAGTAGGATTGAAAGGGTGGCTATGAACTGGTGGTAGAATTCGAAGTTTTGCATTATTAATTTTAGAGTGCTGCGCGTTTTCTTGTTATTCGTCGTTATATTATTGTTATTAACTACACTTTCTCTTAACTCTTTATTGTCGTTTCAACGATTGAAAATTTTATTGGATAAAAATTCGAAATATCTTTCCAAAATTGTTTAAATCTCAAGAATTTAACGAACGAATCTCTTAATATAATCTATGAACAAGATATCATCTATTCAACGTTACGCTCTACATATCTCGTGTATAAGTAATAAAAGTACAATTCCTATCTCTCTAGCCTACAAGTAAAAATTCCAAGAAATGCACCATCATCGTCAAATCTGTCTTCGTGCAACATCCATTAATTTCAATCATCGTCATCGATGATCGAACGATCGTTCTATATTGCATTACTCATCAAATTATGAAAGCTTCTTTTCTACCCAAAAGAAGCCCATTCGTATCCACCAAGTTCGCTCTCTGGCAACGTTAAACCACTTAAGCGAAACATTCTAAATTCCCATTAAGCTCTCCACCTTTAAACGATCATTTTCAACCCAGCACTAACAGCTAGTAGGCACGATGACGAGGGGGGGGCAAAGCCGGCTTCCGGGGGTAGCGTGGACGCCAATGGCTCACAGGATTCGCAGTTTAGGCTGTCAATGTTAGAGAACGGACTGACAGCACACGCTGCCTCGTGGCACACGGCGACGAATGCTCGACAAGAGCGGGTCACCTCGGTGCGTGTGCGTTTCTTCAGTGTCGGGCACGAAGCCAAACGGCGCGCTTCTTTTATTCGCGCGTCGTTCTTCTTACTTTTTTTTTTTTTTTTTTTTACGACCCAACGATCGAATGGAAAGGCGAGGAAACATGTTTATTCGATCGTTCGAGAAGATTTTTTTTTTATAGACAAACGCGATTAATTTGCATCTCTTCTTATTTCGTCTTCGAGTGAGCAATTTCGAGTGTTTACGTTCGAGTGATTTATACGCGAAATTACGCTTGGATTTTTCTCTTGTCGATAAAAAGAAAAAAGAAAAAATTAAACGCGTGGAAGTTTAAAAGGTTTTTACGTTGTTTTTTTTTTTTATCTCTTCTTCGATCGATGAGTTTGATCTTGGCGCGCAAGAAAGAAGTGAAAAAAGTGTGCGTGAATTTTCACGAGAATTTTCAGATCGCGTAGAAGTATTTTTATTTTTTCTTTCATCTGAAATTTCTTTCTGCGCGGTATTATCATGCGGACTGCAAAACAGAGATAACAGAAGAGCGGGATTTTGATGAATGGCCCCCTCGGCTTTTCGCGTTGATTTATCGCGAAGCGTGCCGACAGCTTTGGAGACTTTTATTTCACCTCGAATACGAAGTTGGAGAGTGTTGTTTCCCGTGGATTTACGTGCTTCGAAGGAACTCGAGCCTCGAAATGATCGAGACGGAGGAAAGGTTCATTCAATGATGTCGGAAGTGATGTGATCGATCGAAGTTGAGAGTAAAAGTGCGGGGAACAGTTGAGCGCAGAATGGGTTTGTTTAAGATGGAAAAATTGCTCGTGATCGCGGAAAAACAGGGACGAATGTTGGTCGATAGTGGTTGATGAAGAGAAGAGAAGAGATCGATGTCCATTATCGATCGATCGATCGATCGGTGCCTTTGAAAGAATCGTTTGAGAAATCGAAAAAAAAGAAAAAAAATATTTGAAGCTATTTCGAAAGTCGATTTTGAAAATTGATGGAAATGGATATTATATTTTTCGAGAATGATAGAAATAATTTATATATATTTTCTTAAGAAGAAAGAAATGTATATACAACGTAGTATATTTTTGTAAAGATGGAAAAATACCAACTTCGAAAGTTTATTATATCGTAAGCAATATCGATTTCTGAGAGACTGGTAATTCAGTGGAACTAAAAATTCCAAGAATTCCAAAGATACCATCGTGAGAGTTTACACTTCGAAGAAGATTTAAAGAGTAATGTTTTGAATAGAGATCGAGTAGTACTAATTCAAAAATAGTCGGGCATCGTTCGATCGCACCAGACGCGAATCGACTTTATCGGTGTATCTTGAAATAAAACAGAGGCGGAACATTCACTTCACAATCTGCAACATAAATATAACGATTTTCGAAATTTTGATACTTAATCGCACGCAAAGTATGTCATTTTCAATAATCAAACTCTACGATAATTCTATCCCGAACAAACACGTTAGAATCGTGTGTTCTAAAATTAAGGGGTAAACAAATAGGTTTCGTTTTAAAATTAAACGAAGAAAAAAGGAAAAAAAGAAAAACGAAACACGGTGTTAAAAATCGGCCAATGTCAATGTGCAAAAGCTCGTGACGATCGAACTCGCGTTCCCAATATTATTCTAATCCGCGCGTCCTTGGTCAACGAGCATCCAGAGCATCGTCTGGAAGGTTGGAGACTTGGCCGTGGCCGATTAATCGCGCATCATTCTTGGTGTGGCAACAAACCTGAAGATGCCAGGAGGCGGTGAGCGAAAATAAAGAGAGCCACGATTTTCATCGGCAAATAATTCTACCTCTTCAGTCTTGCCAGGCTTATCCCAGTTGCTGGCCGCATTCTCGCGAGAATCCTTTGAAAATTTATCGACCTGGATGAATGAGAGAGCCTATCGACATTTCTAGTAAGTCCACTTTGTAAATCAATTGTATTTTTCTGATAAGAATCGTGACAATTGTGGAGAACGATCGATAAACCATGGATGCAAACTGACTTGAAACCGATTAGCAAATTCTTCTTGAGATTATTTATTTATTTTTTTTTTTTTTTACTACTAAACGTTACAGACACTTCGTATTTCTGCTTTTAATCATCACGTTGCGTTTACTAGTCTCGATAGCTTATAACGTGAAGTGTTTATTTTTCGTTTCAGTATTTTAGAATTTCGTCAGAGAGTTAAAATTATCGTGTTTCGATTTCACCATTAATTACGATATCGTTTTACAATTAACGTACACTTTCAGAAACTTTTTCTCGAATAATTTTGTTGAGGACTCAATGCAATTTGCCAAATTGAACAACACCCACGTTGAAACACACGTTCGTTCTTACCGCGCAAACGGTTTATCACTTAGATGGAAAGCTCTGCAAAGCCCTGCTCCAACGGAATCCTACTTTATTCTCCAAAAGCGCGTCCCCACACCCTTCACGCTTTGTTCCACGTTTCTCAGAGGGCCGACGGAAAGAGAAGAGAAACGAGGATCGTGGTCGTTCGTACCAAAGTGGTCCTCGAGTGGTCCTAACCTCGTACTGGTACCGAGAAGCCGAAAGAGCCGGTGGCTGGTCACATCGGAAGGGGGAAGCAAGAAACGGAGGGAAATTGGCCCGCGTTATCGGCGCACTTGACTCCTTCGCCTGCTCGAGGAGGTTAATTTTAAGAATATCTCGAGAGGAGGGCTACTTCGACCTCTGTGATGATCAACGATCATGGCGCCAGGAGCAACGACCCTGACGAGTCTTCTGTTGTTGCTGATGGCGGTAGCGAGATGCTCGTCGACGTTGAGAACAGTGCACTCGAGCACCCAGTCGCCGTTCACCAAGATTCTGAAAGGCGTCAGGCTGCCAGGTGGCTACATGGAGATCATCCAGGAGGACCATTGTTCGCACGGTGTTGTCCGACTGACTTGCAGATCGTTGAAGGCGTTCATCTTCGTCCTGGAAGCGGAGTACCTGTCGAATCTGACGCATATTTGCGGATACGATTTGCACAAGTTGTTGGAGAAGAAGATGTACAAGAGTCGAGGTAGCGGTTTCCACAAGAAGAAAGGGCTGAAGGGGAATTATATCGACGATGCTGACGAGGAACGATTTGGACTGGTGGATATTAGACAGTCGTTGAATAAGAGGTATGTTGTTGGACGTTCGAAAATCGAACTGATGAGTACACCATTTTTTGAAAAATTTCGAATCTGTGAGAAAATTTATGATTGCTATTTTAACTATTTAAAAATCGAATTATTAAACTTGATGGGCTCGATTCTGGGTGTCTTTCTTTTGTACGTAGATCATTTTTATTTTATTCGTATCATTCTTGCGAGACACAGAATAAATTCGTGAAAGTAATTTCTTGATATTGATTGTAGATCAAGATCAGTTTTTCGAATTTTTGTGAACTCGCAGGATACTGCTTTCGCTTTTCATATCATTTCGAATACACAATATACACACCGTCTCTGGTAATACGAGTCACCCACTAGGCATCCGCAAGGAAAGGAGAGAGTAAAAGATATTCGGTTTGGATTACATTACCGGTACGTAGACCACAGAATTAGAAAACCATTCCTGACACGTTGGAAATATAAAATTTATATTCACACCGATACGAAACGCCTAATCGATAGAAGAAATTCATTATTTAAATTTTTATCTTCTTCTATTTCATTACAGCCCATCTAATAACAAATACAAAGTGCTTTATCACTATTTTAATATCGTGCTCGTCGTCTGTAACAAATGGGGATTTCGTTCGCAAGAATGACGAGGTCTATTTCTATGGATAAAATCATCAAAGATAAATGTAGAAGCATGGAGTCGCTTTTACTCTGTTCTTGCAAGTAATCGTTTCTCTTCCTCTCTCCGCGAAATTTACTCCTCTGTGACCATGTGTCCCATGCTGGTAACGTGTCTTCAAGGGTGGAACGAAATCTCGACACGCAAAATTGCCGTTTGATGTGCGCCAGTAAAGCGTACGTGAAGTTTTAATTGCCTTTTGAGCGACGTTCGATGCCCGCCGAAGGAGAAATCGTTTCCAGGAGAGTGCATCGCGCGCGAGGAGCACAGCTCGATGAACTTTGTAAATAAGGGGTTGCAACTTGCGAACCCGGAGGGAACGCCCTACCCTATCTCCGTCTCTAGGATTTAATTTTTCTCTCAGTCATAGGGAAACTGATTTCGACCTTGTTTTTTCCTTCTTGCAAAAAAGGAATTTTTCTATTTTTTTTTTTTCGGAAGCGAACGGAACAATTGTGTATTTTTTTTAAATTAAATAATCGAAAATGAAATAATGGAAGACGAAAAAAATTATTGACAATAAAATATTTTTTATTGTCATTACTATTTTGAACAGTGTTATTTGTGTAGAATATTGAAAAATAGAATACAGTTGTATATTTGCAACAGTGAATGTGAAATATTCTGAGCGAAGTATGAAATATTCTCGTTCAAATTAATTAGCATAAAATATCTTGCACGTCTCGTTACGCTTTTTAACGAAGCTATAATAATAATAAATCTACTATATCTACTATTACTCGATTCATTCGAAGTTCCTAGAGAATTACTAGTTCCAACTCATTAAACTTCAAGCGTCATTAAATCTGAACAAAAAATTGCCATTACTACTATCCATTAAACATTCTCGACCGTGTTTTTTCTAAAAATTTCGATATTTTTAAATAGATCCGTGAAGCGCCGGTATATGCAAATTTTCAAGCGAGAATCAAAGATCACATCGATTCCGAGTCAACACATTCGAAACTCGAGATCGGAAATGCGACGATGAAAGAGTCGCGAGCCGAAAGGCCAGGTCGAAAAATTCAAAGGGATTCCTCGCGCGTGGGTGGCGCATGAAACGTTATTCCCTTTTATTTCCGGCGAGGGGAACGAAGCGATAAAATCGCCGGGAGGGAGAGAGGGGGTCCCACCGGTGAAAAGGGGTGAAAACCTACGCCCATTGTTCCACGTGGCCTGGCCATTCTCGATCCCTGCGCAACAATCATCTCGATCTGAAAACAATAGCGATTTCTCCTTTGTCACCGGTCCTAGGGTGCTCGCATTTTCGACACCCGGTACACACCCCTAATGACCTCGCTTATTTAATTGACGACGCTGCAGAGAAATCGATACAATCTGCGTTGCGCTGTTTGCTATACGCAAATTTATCTTGTATACGTGTGCGTTTGATATCGCGAAATTGACACGGATTCTCGATAAAACTTGATAAACGTTTTCTACGTTTCTCTAAGGAAAATATTTCTTGCATAAGCGAAATTTTGAATATTTTAATTTTTCAAACAGGTGTTTATTTTTAATCGTTAATTTAGAAATTTATTTTTTTTTTTTTTTTTAGGAATTTTTTAAAATCTTGAAGAAGATTTAAGATGCAAGGATTAGAGGATTAAATATGAAATCGAGTATTGAATATTTGTGAATTTGAAGATATTCGATATAAAATTTAAAAGTTCGAATTCTTTCTATATTTTAGATGTTCCGGACAGAAGCATTGTCGTTACAATTTTACTACCGACCACCCGAGTGCCGTTTATTGGAATCCAGCCACATTACGATTGAAGTACGCCTGTATTCCTGGTAAATATTTTTTTATAAATTAGATCAACCTAGCTAAACATACGAAAAAAGATAATCATGTTCTCACGTTAAAAATAAATTTTTTCGATCTATTAATTTTTCTATAGAATTTAACACGTGAGAAACAGGAAGTACTCGCATTCCGATTTCATTTTTCTCACACACACGTTGCCTTCCTTCTTCATAGAACGATCGATTTTCAGTCACGTTCTATCGATAATCTTCAATCTAGATAATCCAAACAAAATACCAGGTGTAATCTTGATCGAAGCTAGAGAACGAATGCCATGTCACGTCTGATACTTTCTTAGATTTATATATTACAAAAATCTTTTATACTCAACGAAAATCTGTGTTTTCTTCATCATTCACACAATTTAAATAAAAATTCCCCAAATTCTTTTAATCCACTTGTTCTTTTTTTCCAAGAGAACTTCACTTTGAACTTCAATCGATCGATAAAAATTCGTAACAAGTTATTCAATAAATTTTTCTTTCCCTCAGATTCGCTCGAAATTCTAAAAACCATTCCCAATATTCGTGATTCGAAGCAATTCCATTCTTTAATATCTGGGGATCAAAAAGTTTCACGCGAAACTTTTATAATGACCGACAGTCCTTTCGAAGAACGCCGCAATGAACGACATATCGTATGCGACAAAAGGCAGATATTCGAAGGACGTGCTAATCCCCCGTCTCTATGCAACCAGGCGAACTATGAAATCGTAAAAGATGCGAAAAGGCTCGTTGAATGCGGGAACGAACGTCCTTGCACCCTACGCGAATCACGGTCTTCGAGAGGCTCTTTAATCAAGCCACCTTTCTATATAACACGATCCATCTGCGATCGATATGGAATATTTTTATGTAACACGATAATTTTCTATCTCTTCGATAGAAAAATTATTTAGATTTCATATTTAGATTTGTGTGCAATCAATATTATGCGACAATTTTACGTAATACGATGAAAATATTTCTCCGATAGAAAAATTATTATAATTTTAAATTGATTTTTATATAACCAATGATTAATAAACTTGTGTATTATTTTACACATCGTAAAATAATCTTGGTAGACAAGAAAACGTGTTACTTACGTCACGATGTGATCGATGTGTCTATCATAACACCGACATCATAACATCTGCTCTATATAAATCATTTTTAGCAAATAAACGAGCACACGTTAAAAAAAATTAGTATTATACGAAATCTTAACCGAGAGAATCTGTCGCAAAAAATTCATATCATCACTTTGATATATATATATATATACACCACTCTCGATGTATGTTTCAATGGCCGTTCAATAGAGGAATTTTACTCTTCGAGAAGAATGAGACGACGAAAAGGAAGGAGACGGAGGAATAGAGCGAAGATCTTTTTCATCGTGGAAAAGATAGGAAGAATCGTGCCACCCCTTCGACGCCCTACAACCGGTATCAGCCCCCTCCAGGTGTAGGTATTCTCCGGTCGGTTCACCCCTCCTGTGGAAAGTGGGGCAAGGACACCCTCGGTCAGGCGAAACGTCGCATAATGGTGGCGGCAGTCACACTCGAAATCGACAAATGGACCGAAACGGATGCAGATGTTGATTGCCGCGTCCTTATGTCGGTAAAAGTGTCGTCCTTTCGCGTTTCTGGAACGAACAATACTCGAGAGAGGTCAATGGCTCGGGGGTGGCAATTCAACTGAGTAGATTCGTGTCGAGGAAAATAGAATTTTTCATGTGTGTTGGTAGAGATAATTTATACCTTTTTTTTCCCCCTCCCTTTTCTCCGTACATTAGGGAAGAAATTTAATTTCTGTCCCATTCCCCTTAAGACTGTTGAAGAGATAATTTATGATTGTGCGTGTTCATATCGTATTTATTCGTGCCTCTTCGACAAGATGTTTGAGTTTCGATTTATTCACGTTTTCGGGGGTTGTTTCAGAGGCTGCAGTGAGAAAATATTGCAACGAGGAGCTGAAGGTGGTCCCAGGCGAGGGTGGTTTCATAAATTCACCAGGTTATCCGCTTTACTACCTCGGCGAGAGTACGTGCGGCTGGACGTTCAGGTCGGCTCCTGGGCACAGGATCGTCCTCACGTTCCACGACCTGAATATCCGGGGTAAGTATCGATCCGTTTCCCCTTTATTTCCTCGCTATCCTCCGCACTTGGAGATTAACCTACGTGGATCTTGCATGGAATCGATTAAGAAATCACGAGTCGTGTGTATTTTACGATTCAAATTAACGAATTCATTGATCGTTTTAATTAATATTTAAGCGTAGTTCGATAACGTAGAATCTGTATACATTATGTGTAACGATGTGTACGAAATTTAATCTTTTATTAACAGTTTAATAAAATCTTTTTTCTCGTTCACTTCGCGTGATTTATATTCTATTTAAAAAAATAAAGACGAATAGAATATGTACAGAGTATAGAAATATCTAACGCGGTTGTATTTAAGTGGAAAATATAAATATAATAAAAGGATTAAAAAGTAAAAATGTTGTAATTATATTTCAGGACCAGAAACGGATGGCAATTGCGTGGACATCGTGAGAGTGCGAGAAAAAGGAAGAACGTTGTTCGAGAATTGCGGTACCGCGGCTGGCATCAAGGTCGTTTCGAACTCGAGCGTGATCACCCTCGACCTTGTCGCCACGAAGAAGCTGTACACGGCACGAGGATTCTTCTTGCAATATCAAGGTCGGTCTAACCTCCTGAGAGCGAAGATCGATTCGTTTCTTTTTATTTTTTCCCCTGAAATCGAACCTCTCCGAGATCGATGGAACTCGATATGAACAAACGATTGCGCAATGAATCTTTCATCCAGAAATAACGTTGACGAACTTTTTTTTAGAACACAAGCGTGTTCGATACACGATACCTTTTCCCTACTTTGATTTCTTTGACACGTCTGCTCATCGTTATAACGTTGCATTGCGACGTAACGATCGAATATTATCGATCCTTGTATTTACATTTTTTATCTTTGGGCAATCAATCAAACATTACATTTGTAGCTCGTAATTTCCATATACGTAATTTCCGTTAAATAAATAATTTCAAGGCAAAGCGAAATTGAAATTGAATTGTAAATATGATTGAAATAGATTGATCAATATTCACCGATAATTCGTTGATGTAATTATAATTTGACGTGGTGAATAAGAACTGTATGCAAATGAACAGCAACTCTATAGATGATTATTAATGTTTCAGCGTTGGACTGTCCGGATGTCTCGGTGCCCAACGGAAGTTACGTATTGAATGGCACTCTAACCTCAAGGACTTTTCTCTGCAAATTGGGTACCGTGTTCCCCGACAGTAAAGAAAGGACAAGGATACTCGAGTGCAAGAATGGCAAGTGGAACGAGAGTGTCATCAACATACCGAGTTGCACAGGTAACCGCGATTCCCTTTTTATCAACGAATATTCGCCTGTATGCAATATCATTGACACAAAAAATTAACGTGATATGACACGTGCATACAATTTACAAGTTACGCGCAAAAATTCTCTAGTAGTAGTGAATAAATAAAATTCAAATTATTTTCTAATTAAGAAAAATTAACAATTTACAAAGGGAATTGGACGATACATAAAATCAATAATATAAAATTCACGTATATTAATATTAAAATTATTTGGCATTTACACAAATTACCAATATAACGCGCTTTTTCAACAAAATATATTTTTACCTAGGAAAAAAATGTCGATACGTATATTTATAATACTTCAACTTTCAATCCATATTCATCAACGCATGCATATGCATCACATAAATATCAATAATTCTAATATTAATCGAACTCGAATCTAATTTTTGTCGTAAACAAAATCGCATTCCATACATTCAATACCGTTTCACCGAGTTAAAACGATCGCAAGATTATAAAAAAAACATGGATGGTGGCACTCACATTAGTAGCTACGTCCCTCACGGGTCTCCCATGGCTGTCCATCGCGTTTCGAAAGGGGAAATCCGTGGTGGGGGATATCGCGGTGAACGGCGGGGACACAGGAAGAGGGGTTGTCGGTGGCGGGGCAGGATGAAAGAAAAAGACGGAGGGAAAGAATCTTGGGGCGGAGAAGTATTCGTGAAGGTACCATACATCGGTAGCGTTGCACACGTAACGACGCCAGCCGTCTCGACACCACGTGTCCCGGTCGAAAAAATTATTTGAAAATCAATTTCTCGTGCGTGCTATTACCTAACTAACTGCATAACTATTGTATCTTCCCACACAATTGTATACATTTTAACATATTCGCCTCCAGTTAATCGGTTTCATCGATCGCAAAACGTTCGTATTCGCGAAGCGACCTCGAAGAAGAAAGAATCGCGCATCAACCATCTTTAACATCGTTCGAACACATCAGGTAACTTTTTTCTTCTTCTTTTTTTTTTTCTCATACTTACTACGATATATCTATTTTTTTGTAAGTAGAATCTGTGGATTATTTGCTTTTCACGACACTTTATTTGCACCACGTTTATACACGTGGATATTTATAAGAATAATTTAACGCGACGAGTCGCGAATTCATATAGGAGCGTTGTAGAACAACCTCACCGATGAAGCGGATTCTTCGCGATAAATCAACGTTCCTTTGTTTTCCATTCTCCTCTTTTTATTTTCATTTCTTGACTACGAGTAATGCACGATCTTGAGAATATAACCAACGCGCGTAGAGTGGTATTCCAGCTTGAACTTTCGTACCCGAGTGGAATTGCGAATTAATTAACGGCACCCGGAAGTTTTCTTCGCGCTTCTGGCTGGGGGATCGGCTCTTTAAAATACGATACATTCAGCGGATTATTAATTACCCTCGTGCGGTCGTGTTGAGAAGACTTTGCCTTAATCTGAAGTGAACTCTTCAACTTTACTCTCTCGTTGAACTCGTGATAAATTTGAAAATCGAATTATACAGCAATTTTGTAATAAAAATTGTCTACACTTTCAAATCCTTAAGTTCGTTTTAATCTGAAGTTCTTCGATTGTAACGTCCTGTTGAAATTGCGATAAATTTCAAAGTAAAATTACACACACGTCGAATAATTATATTCTTTTATTTTCTCGATGAAAATTTGTTACGCTTTCAAATTTTTAAATTATTTGATCAACAATCTTCTGCCGTACAATAATTTAAAAAAAAAAATATGCATGGAATATATCTACATACATTTCAATAATCCTTTCGTTGAACATTAAAACTTACAACGAAATACAATATATATAATATTAATTTTTGTATGATTTTCTCTCATCAGCTTGACGAATGTGCAGTTCGTGATATTTATTTTCTTTCTAAAATCTCCCGTTATCCTGTGGTTGGCGCACGCGTTATCGACTCAACGGTTTCCTCTCGAAAATCGACCGATTCCGATAACGATATACAGTCACCGCTAATTCTACGCTGAATGAAAAGAGTATGGAACGAACAGCTGCGGGATAAATGAAAAAATTTTTTTGTAGTTAAAAAAGGGAGAAAGAGAGAGAGAGAGAGAGAGAGAGAGAGAAGGAAAG